GTAGTTAGACTGGTACGTTGTTACAGTAGGTAGTTAGACTGGTAAGTTGTTATAGTAGGTAGTTAGACTGGTAAAAGTAAAGAAATAGGAAATGGCCCATATTCATTTTGCCCATGCTAAAAAGTTTGTATTTCTACAAATCATCCAGGAAGATACAGTATGACACAAACAGGGGACCTGTTACACTGATGCCAGCTGCCAATACCAGGATTCCTGAGACAGAAGTGGTGAAGACGTACGACCTGGTGGGCGTATTGGGAATATTCAGAACAGAACAAAACAGTGGAATAAATGAGCATCTTCTATTTGTACAAGATGGAGACGTATTGGGTAAAATAGATGGATCAGTGGTGTACAGCATTCGTAGAGTAAGGGCACTGCAGATTGTTGGTGATGGTGGAAGTGAAGAAGTGGAAAGTGTGATCAATTTGATTGAATCTCACCCATTTTATTGTACAGGTGCAGAAATAAAGGAATGCTACCAGTGGAATAGCATTTTGAGAAGAAATTTCAATAAGAGAACCAGGAAACAAGGAAGGAGGAAACGAGTGTCACACAGCCTCTTTGTGGAGGACAAAGAGGAGCAGGAGACTGAATTCGAGAAGAATGAGCAGAACTATGCGATATTCTCAGACTCAGACAGTTTTAGCCTACTGAATTTATTCAGTGGATACTACGAATATCAAACATACAGAAATGGTAGCATTCACTACACATTTGAAATACGGTCATTTGTATCAACTAACAAGATAGGACCAAGGATGCTATGCAGGGGAGTTGACGAAGATGGAAATGCCGCATTCTTCGTGAAAACGAGTTTCAGGTGCAACTCAAATCAGTCAAAAAATGACGAACCCGAAATCAATTTCACCATTTTCAGGGGATCAGTTCCACTTTTCTGGGCACAGACTGATCCACTGAAGCCGTCTAAGATCTGGTTTGAGGGAACAGAGAAGGAGAACAGTGGTGCATTCAGGAAGCACATGGATCAAATGAAGCAGAAGAACGAGGATGTCGTGGTCATCGACTTATTGGGCCACTCAAAATACGAGGCCATTTTATCACAAATGTACAGGGAGAAATGCTGTAAACAGAAAATAAAATACATCAATTTCCACCTGAATGCGCACATAAACGACTACGAGAACATGAAGAGACTGCTCTACGATAAGATACACCGCATTGGCGCAGATGACAACGGCTGCATCCTCGACGAGGAGACCTCGGCCGAATCTGAAATCAGCGCCTTTGAAACAGAGACCCTTGCAAGTTACAGCCTCCTTGAGGAGAGCGAATGCTTCTCAAACACCCCACAAATCGACCAGAACAGGGTTTACAGGGTGAACTGTCTCGACTGCCTCGATAGAACGAATTTGTGTCAGTTTCTGATATTCAACTATCACAACCCCTACAAATTCAATATTGTAAAAAGTATGTGGAAGAATAACGGAAATGCATTGGCACAGCTGTACACTGGATCACAGGCACTGAAGAGTGACTTCAGCAAGGAGAAAAAGAGATCACTCTTAAGCAGAGTCAATGACATAATGATATCAGCAAATAGAATGATAAACAACAAGTTCAATGATGGGGAGAAGCAAAGAGTGATAGACCTGCTATTGAAGGGTGGAAATGGGAAGTGAAGTGTGGCCATGAGAGTAAAAGAGACAGATGCAGGTTGCTTTACTGCCATAAACTAAATTTACCCCTAGTTATGACAATGGGAGACAACAAGAATATTCTTCAATCTGTTGAGCAGTTCAAGTGCAATGAGATAGAGCTGTCTAGGTGCATTCTGGTTCATTTGCACAATCAGACGGCCGTAGACTACACGTCAGTGCAATTCTATGAGAATTGGACTAAGGGAGCAAAGGACAAAAATATCAAGACTGTTTTATTGAATTACACCAGTAGTGAAATAACAGTTGATGATGAGATGATTCTGGTAGTGAATGATCCAGAAGATTGTTCTATTGAATTCACCAATGATGGACCAGTTACATTTATAGTATGAAAGGTGGTAGCCACTATCTACCTAATCAGGTACAAGTAACAAAATATTCTTTAACAAATCAGATCGAATAAATCGGAGTTCGAAAGGTCAGCAGTCGCTTTGGCCACTCAAGAATGTTCAGTCTTCCCATTCTGGTCTTCAGGTGCCAATCACGTGCCCGTAGATCAATTGCACTGATGTAGTAGAACTTACAAACCAAAATCAGATCACCAAGTGGCACCAGAAAGATGCATTTTGACGATACGTGGCCCAATATTGATTTGAAACTGGTGATATTCATTGGAGATGATCCAAAGAGCATCAGTTGCATTTTAATGGCAATCAGCGTATTCAAAACAAGATCACTGAGAATGAATACCATGAATGGCCTAAGATTGTTCCGACCAATACAGTTGTCTAAGGATGGACAGTGGTGATCCTTATCCAGTACGCAGTGGCCACAGTCCCAGCAGTGCGAGACACCTGGAGCACGAAACAGGTTGCAGTCATCGCAGTATTTCTGATACCAAACAATTTCATGACTCTTTTTACCAGGCATCATTTTCAACTTATCCAATTCATCAACGTCATCAAAGAGGTCGCCTACAAAATACCAGTTTCCACGGTGATCCAATTCGGCTCTGCTCATGGACGAGTTACAGTCCACAACCTCTCGTAACTCGTTGTGGACGTTGATTCGAATGACCAGTCCGTCATTCAGCACCACTTCACTCAGCTCAAAATTGGCGAATCTGCTTGGTTTCACGTAGCCTGGATCCTTGAAGGACGTAAATGACAGGGCCATTCCATTCAGAAGCATAAACAGCCCTAATATAAGCAGTTTTGGCCAACTTCCTACGTATACGTAGACAAGGAAGGCGTATGAGAGTATTTTGATTGTTATAATGATGGTTTGGGCTATTTTGCTATTTGAAACCATAAAGGGGGATTGGAATAATTTGTAACAATTTGCAGCTGGGGCAGATGTTCAAGAACTTGCCCACAATTTCGAAGCACGTAAAAGCAAGGGTAGTTAGGCAGTCTATGCACCAGGCAACCTGTATAATAACAGAATCAGAGGGCAAATCAACACCAATAGAATTCAGGGGGATTCTGAAGCCAGTTGGAGTTGATGAACAGTTGACATGCAAAAATGATGATGTGGTTGATTGTGTTGTGATAGGGTACTGTGACAGTGGAATAGTGGTCAATATGGTCTGACTGACATCAATCAGAATCACTTCCAGTAAATGGATCAAATCAATTTGTCTATTTTTATCCCATTTATGCCAGGTCTACAAATAAAGAAGAGTGATTTCACTGCAGTTGGAAAGTGTTCGGATGAGGAGGCAGAACGGATTCTCTTTGACTTTGGAATTGAGTTGGATGACATTGTGGATGTTAATGGCGAGAAGGAGTACAAACTTGACATTGCTGCAAACAGGTACGACCTACTCTGCAAAGAGGGTCTCAATAGGGCAATTGGAATGTACCTGGGAAATGAGTTTAGGCAGGAAGAAGAGTACGAAACCAGTAGTGAAATAAGGGTAGTACAAAATGAGACTCATGAAAGGAAGCATATTGCCTGTGGAATACTAAGAGGGGTCAACCTGGACTACGACAGTTTCATAGGCTACCAAGAGAAGCTTCATTCTACGATAGGAAGGGGAAGAGTTGCCGTAGCAATTGGAACCCACGACCTGAGTCGAATCAGGGGCGTAGTCGAGTACAGCAGTAGAAGAATGAGTGAAATCAGCTTCAAGCCACTGAATGGAACCAGGGTCGTAAATGGGACAGAACTGGTGAATGAGACTGGAGAACACCTTCAAAAGTATTTTGGAATTCTGACTGACCCAAACAGGGCAGTTGTGTTTGAGTCTGATGGAAATGTCCTATCAGTTCCACCAATTATCAACAGCGACTACTCGAAAATAGGTAGATCCACTAGGGACATCTTCATTGAGGTGACTGGAACCAACTTCAACAGGGTCAACCAGGTGCTAATTCTGCTTCTGGTGAACTTCAAGGGAACTGGTAGAATTGAGCGTGTTGAAATTCAGAAGGGTGAAACCAAAATTGTTACGCCTGTTCTTGAGAAGGTGTCCTGGTCGTTCACCTTTGATGAAATCAGGGTGAAAACTGGATTAGAGTTGTCACCTGAGAGGGTGGAGGAGTTCCTTAGGTCGATGCAGTACCGGTACGAGAGGAGTGGCAGGAGCATCAGGGTGTGGCCGATGCATAACAGGATGGACGTGATTGGGAAGTGCGACGTGATTGAGGACCTGCTTGTTTGCTACGGATTCAACAACGTATCGAGGGCGAATCCAAACAACTTCTACTCGATTGGAAGAGAGGAGCCACTAAACAAGTTCAGTGACAAAATGAGGGAGGAGATGGCCATGGTCGGCTACAACGAGGTGATGACCCTGACACTTCTGAGCAGGAAGGAGAATGTCTGTAACCAGAGGATGGTGGTCGTAAGCAGGGCCAAATCACGGGAATACGAGGGAGTGAGGACGAGTCTGCTTCCAGGAATAGTCAAAAGCGTGGGATCGAACCTGAGTGCGAGACTGCCCCTGCGACTCTTTGAAAGCAGTGACGTGGTGGTCGTGGGCGAGAAGCCCCTGAACAGGAGGATGCTCGCTGGCATCTACGCCGGAAGGAGTTCGAAGTTGGAGGAGATGATTGGGACAATCAGTCTCCTTTTCAAGAAGATTCCTGGTGCCCTGAAATTCAGTTCCATTTCTGGTGAGGTTGAAACAAACTGGGTATTTGATGATGGTCGAATGAAGACGTGCTTTATTCCAAGTCAGGCTGCACGGATCCACCTGAATGGGAGACACGTTGGATACGTTGGAGTTGTGAATCCAGCTGTAAACAGACAGTTTAAGGTGCCATATCCAATGAGTGCATTTGAAATAGATTTAGAATTGGTATACTCACTAATTGAAAGGGAGGTATGAAAGTGGTAGTGTTATTAGTAATACCATAATATTATCACTACTATATTATTATCACCATATTATTATTACTACTACTCTATTACTATACTATTATACTCACTATACTATTTGCTCTATTACTATTCCTCGTTTGCTGTATCGTAACTTGTCTCATAAGTTGATTCTGTATTGAGTGTGACTGTACTCTGCTGCGATGACTCATCATCGATCTTATTCTTCTGCTCCTGGTCTCTCTTGTAGAACAGTTCTCCTGATGTCAGCTGTAGCACCTTATTCGCCCTCAACTCGTCACAGTTGTTCAGGTGCTCCACCTCAACACGAACCACTGTCCAAATGAACCGTCTCACAATCTCAGCCAATACAATGAGCAGGGCGAGTTGCGGCCTGTCTGCCTCGTGAACGAGCTCAAAGAACTCCACAATCCACGAGAAGCGTGCTACGAAATCAAATAGGATGAAATAGGCGTAAAACACCCTTGAAAACATGAACTTGGATCTCACGATTGAGAAGTCGACGAATACGTCCCAAATGAAGGCGTAGAGGGAGCCAACGAGGATGAAGCAGGCGGTTGCGACCGACTCTGCCGCCTTCTTCTCGGCGTAGCCGTGGATGGTTCGCAGAACAAGGACGTAGATGGCCATGAGGTACTTGAGGGCGTTGAAGATGTGGGGGAAGACGAGTCGCGAGCCAGAGAATCGCTTGAAGCACTGGAGAATGCGAACGAGTGGAAATACGCCGACCACGGTGGCCTGAATGGCCCTGTTTGAGCAGCCAGCGGCAGTCATCAGACGAGTGATCGAGAACGAGAACGACTGGATCACGTCGACGAAGTAGAAGTGTCTGAACCTGATTGTGGAGAGTGGCTTGAAGATGGCTCGTCCTACGGCTGAAAGCAGGTAGTACCTGGATGAGGCAAAGCAGATATTCAGGGGCATCGTCAGAAACATGAAGCAGAAGCCAAGGAAGGCGAGGTGGCCCAGACTCGCGCCAACCGCGTGGCTGAATGCGACGTAGAGCGTGTTCATCGCGCTCACGAGCAGCAGGTAGCGGCCGTTGCTCATCGTGCTCGAGTAGTCGAAGTTGAAGATGAATTTGTAGTTGATTTTCGAGAACTTGAAGAACTTCATGCACAGGCCAAAGAGGATGAAGCCAAGGAAGACGTTGTTGGCCGCGAAAAAGGGGCCGTTTGGAAAGCGGTGGGCCGCGAGCACCGAGTTCACGCCGCTCAGGAAGCCGGCGACCACGTAGAGGATGTCGCTGGAGATCAGCCCGCGTCTGAGGCGCTTGAAAAGGCGTCTCGCCTGCTTCGGATTGTTCTTCGCAAATAGCGCCTTGTAAATGCTCTTTATTGCCGCCCTCACCTGCTCAGTCGTCCTTGATACGTGGAAATGCGCCCTCTTGAGCATCTCACTGCAGTCTTCTCTTCCTTTCGTGCTATTCTTGTGCTTCTTTATCAACTTGTGGAGACCAGTGTTGTTTATCTCCCTGTAGCTCTTTATTTTCAGGAGACTGTGAAGCAGCTCAGTGATGTGCTTCTCCTTCTTCCTCCTTCTGAATGCACCTGGCATCGTGATGAATCGCATCACCCCCAGCTGCCTCGTCTCAGTCTCAGTCTCGCACTTCCAATCGGTGTTCGAGACGAACTCGTCCTCGTTTCTCTCGGACTCATCGGTCGCAACCAAGCTCTCTCTTCCAATTCCACCGTAGACCACGTTTCGCCCTATTTTGTCAGTCTCCTCAAACAGCTCCCTCGAAATGTCCCTTTCTACTTCTCCCAGTATTTTCTGCTTCTCATCAACCGCCTTTCTTTCAAGAAGGCCGTAGAACTTGTCCACTTTCTCAATCTCAAGGCCAATCAGTCGTCGGAAGCTGCTCTTTCCAATGTGTCTGCTCATTCGGGCGTATTTGACGTAGAAATCAGACCACTCGTGCACTTCGTTGTTACGAATGTAACTGCCGTATCCCATGTGGGCTAAAAAGAGTGTTTATTCAAATCACAGAAATAGTGATTAATCAGAGGTGGTGGATTGGGGAATAGAGTGGAAGATGAGTCAGAATGGTACTGTAGAAAAAGTAGGCAGAAATAGCCCATATGAGAAATAGGATAAACAACACCGAAGTATGTGACGAGGAGGGGATTCTGGCGGAGATAAATGGTGGATTCGAGAGAATGGCGACGAACATGGAGGCTCTTTCGGAGCAGTACTCGAAGATAGCAGAATTCATACGGAAACAGGAGAAGATATTCGTGAGGGGGAGAAAGTGAGCAACTACACGAATTCATTCAGTGAATCAGCACGAAACTGGACAGTCGCAAGGTGAATCAGCCACTCCTTCAGGTTATCAGTCGTAAAGATGCTCTTATGCATTTCTATTTCAAATCCATCTCTTCTTTCTTCTGGTGCCTCAAGTCTCCCGTACTCAGTTCTCTCGTTGTAGTCCCTGAATCCAATATCAAAGAGGTACAGGTAGGGAGCAGGTGCCTTTCCTAGGACGTATTTCGTCTCCGAGAAGACTTTCTCGTAGTTCTCTTCCACCTTGGTGAAGTCTACGACGTATCTGCAGTTGAATAGGGCAAATGCCACCATTTTCCTAATTTGGTGCAAAATGAAGCTGTCCCCAGAAAGAGAGACCTCGAGGTACTCAACGTCGTCAACCACCCTCGTTCCAAGTGACCTGACTCTCCTCAGGTGCCTCTTCGTCCCCTGCTTGTTCTGGGACGTCGTGAAGTTGTGGTAGTCCCTGGTTCCCTCGTACAATTTGAGTATTCTGCCCATTTTGTCAATTTGCTCCTGTTCCACCCTGAATCCCCTACAAAATGAGACATCCTCACTCGTAAAGACCCTGAAAAGCTCCTTGCACCTCTTTTCTGTCCCATTCTCAGTCTGGTCGTTGAGTAGCTCCTTCTCGCTGCCCAAATTGCACGTTTCCATGAATTTGGTTGGAATAAAGTACTTGTACGACCTATTTCGTGCCTGTTTATGCGCCACAAATCCCCTTGGAACCTGACACACCTTGTACAGTACGAAATTATTCAAACTAAATTCATGCTCAATCTTCTCGAAGACCGTGTCAGTCAGTTCCGTGTTTATCTTCATCGTTGTTACGTTGAATACGGCACCAACGCCCTTGTCTGTTCTACTGGCCGACTTCATGTGCACTTTAGTGGCACTCTCGCTGTTTGCCTCTGAAATGTATCCTAATCCTGCCAGTACTCCAATGATTCTCCTTTCTAGCGTGTTACTATCTTTATTGAACTGCAATCCAGCGTATCCGACACCACTGTATCCCCAGATGAGTGCTATTTTCCTCTTCATTTAATGGGTAAAATATCATTTCTACTGCCCTGATGAAACAGTTGGCCGTTGAAGACGAGAGACACGTCCAGTTTGTCATTGATGCCATGAATACGCGTGACATCTACTACCACATTCTGGAGTGTAAGAAGATATCGAATCTCTACAGAATGATCAACAGTCTTCGAATTCTGAAAAGCAGCAAATTCGACTACGTGAAGAGGAAGGCACTGGAACTCGTGAAGGATTGTTACACGAGTTCAGGTGGATTCGCACCAGAGAAGACGTATCCGCCAAACGTGTCGTCAACCAGGGCTGCCCTTCAGGTGCTCCACATTTGTGAATCAGACGCCTACTACAAGAAGGAATTCGATAGAGCCAAAACAGCCAAGTTTCTAATGAACTTGCAGACTGGTTCAGGTGGATTCGCAAATGACGAATTTGGTGACGTGGACACGCGTGTTGACTGCTGTGCCATTTCGAGTCTGAAGATGCTCGAGTTGCTTGAAAAGAACGACTTCAGAAGGGAGAGCCTGGAAGTGCCATTGGACTTGAAGAAGTATCCTGAAATTGATTCAAATGGGCTTGTTAGGCACATTCTGAGGTGCTACGACACGGGTGGCGGGTTTGGACAGGTTGAGGGAGCAGAAGGACACGCAGCACAGACATTCTGCTGCATTAGCACCCTCAAGATCCTCGGTCTACTCAACACCGTTGATTTGGATGATGTTACGGCATTTATTGCCCAAAATCAGCACGAAAATGGTGGATTGATGGGTCGAGTCAATAAGAAGCCAGATTCGTGCTACTCATTCTGGTCATATGCGACTCTAAAGATGACAGGTGGTGAGGACTCGATTGACAAGAAGAAGCTTATTGAGTTCATTCGAAGCTGTGAACACGAAGAAGGCGGATTCTCTGATCAGCCTGGGAATGTGCCTGACATTTATCACCAGATGTTCTCCCTGGCTGCCCTCGTAATGCTTGGTGTGATTGATGGTGAATTATCACCATCAATGTGTATTTGAACAGTAATTGATGTCATCTGAAACCATTTCCTACTACATTTTTAGACCCTTACGAATATGAGAACTAAATCGCAAAATGAATTACACAAAAGAGTCCTGAAACTGATGAAAGTGTACGGAATAGACGCGTATCTGTCGTATACAGCAGACTGCCACCACAACGAGTACATTGGAACCCAGGATCTGCGTGTGACTATGCTGACAGGGTTCACTGGATCAAATGGAATAGCAATGACGGCAGAAGTGCCGCTTCTGTGGACAGATGGCCGATACTACATCCAGGCAGAGAGGGAATCAACCTATTCGCTGAGAAAAGAAGCACCAAGTGAAGTCGCTAGAAATTTCAAGAAAATCAGTTTTGACCTGAGACTAGTTTCTACCAAATTCTACGACGAATTCACGAAGAAGCTTAAAGAGAAAGGGGTTGAATTCGTGGCGATAGACGAGAACCTGGTTGATAGGGCAATTGAGGAAATAAACAGGGAAAGAGGAGTAGAGGAAAAGATGCTTGAACTCGATGGAAGAAGGTACAGTTTGACAAGAAGAGTGGGAGACGTAACCTACTTGGAGAACTACCAGCTCATTGACTTCGTTGCAGATGACTTGAGGGCAGTGAACTACCTGAAGGCATTTGGTTTCACGAAGTTGGACGAGAACGTCTCAGGCTCAAGTTACCAGGATAAAATAGGGAAAGTGAGAGAGGTGGCAGGGGATAGGACACTTCTTGTGACTGAGTTGGACACAATCTGCTGGATACTGAACGTACGTGGGAATGAGATCGACTACAATCCGCTCTTCTACGGCTACCTGGTTCTTTCTCGCGATGACGTGATTCTCTTTGTGGATTCAGAAGTCTACCTCAAGGGAGTGGCTACGAGAGAGTACAGGCAGTTTGAGGAGTACTTGAATGAGAAGCTGGTTCACGAAAGGGTGCTGGTTTCCAGCCAATGCTCGCAGTATTTGGCTAACAAGATGGTGAATGCTGAATTCACTGAGGAAATTAGAATTATGCAATCGAAGAAGAATCAGACTGAATTGGCTGGAATGACACTGGCCTACTACTACGACGGAATTGCCCTAACAAACCTGTTGGGGCATCTCAGCAGAAGCAAGGAGGAGTACACCGAGAAGCAGGTTGCAGATCTGCTACTTCGGTACAAGAAGAATCTGCCTGGATTTGTTCAGCCTTCGTTTGAGACAATTTCATGTACTGGATCCAATGCAGCCATCATCCACCACAGTCCAAGTGACGCAGTCGTAGACTACGACAGCGTCTATTTGATTGATTCTGGCTCCCAATACCTCTTTGGGACGACTGACACCACCAGAACGTGTCACTTCAGGAAGCCAGCCCCAGAACTGGTCCACGATAACACGTTGGTCCTGAAGTGTCAGCTCAATGCGATGATGAAGGTGTTCAAGGAGGAGGCTGAGTTCTCTGAATTGGACGAAGCAGGACGAATCTACCTCAAAAACGAGGAGAAGGAGTTCAAGCATGGGCTGTCTCACGGTGTGGGACACTTTCTCTGTGTTCACGAGCATCCGCCTATAATTTCACCAAACAAGAAGGAGGCATTCTACGATAACTGCGTATTCTCAGTTGAGCCAGGATTCTACCTTGAAAACGAGTATGGAATCAGAATAGAGAACCTGGTTTACTGTAAGAAGAATAAAGAGGCAGAAGGAGGCTACTCACTGGTCAACCTGACCATGGTGCCATACGACCAGGGTCTGATAGACCAGAGCATGCTTAATGAGCAGGAGAAGGCGTACTTGAACACATTCAACCAGTTGCTATTGGAACTGTTTGAAGGCAGTTTGAACGAAGAGGGGTGGCATTATTTGAAGAGTAATGCGCATAAAATAGTGTAAGCATAAATATTCAGAGACTCAATTTTGTTCTGGTTTCATGGATGGGTAGAGAATGACGTCCCTGATGTTTGCTGCATCTGTCAAATACATCACGAGCCTGTCGATTCCAATTCCAAGGCCACCAGTTGGTGGTAGGGCGTATTCCAGCACCTGACAGAAGTCCTCGTCAACTGGCATCGCCTCTGTGTCTCCTGCGGCCGCATCCTTCGCCTGCATCTCAAATCGCTCTCTTTGGACGTCCGGAATGTTCAACTCGGTGTACGCGTTCACCAGCTCCTTCCCATTCACGAACATCTCGAATCTCTCGGTCAAACCAGCCCTGTTTCTGTCGTCCTTCGCTAGCGGACTCATCACCACTGGAAATCCAGTCACAAATGTTGGATTTATGCATTTTGGTTCAATATATTCACCAATGAATGCATCAAGTACCCTGTTCAAGGTCTTCGGCTCCTTGAGTTCAATCCCCCGACTTTCTGCTTTTTTAATCAGAATCTCAAGTATCTCTGGTCTCGTAATGCTCTCTCCATCCATCTCAAGCCCAAGCTCCCTGTTCAACTCGTCCAGAATGTCCAGTCTCTTGAATGGAACACTCCAATCCAGTTCCACCTTGATCTCCTCAGCTGTTCCCCTCTTTGCTGGCGAATACGTGAATTTCTCTGATCCCCTGATCAGTATCGCCAACTCATTCAGAAGCCCCTCCACTATGGCCATCAGGTCCCTGTAGTCCGCATACGCCATGTAGCACTCGATAGCAGTGAATTCTGGGTTGTGAGTCAGATCAATTCCCTCGTTTCTGAAGTTCTTCCCAATTTCAAAGACTCGTTCCATTCCGCCTACAACGAGCATCTTCAAAAACAGTTCTGGTGCCACGCGCATAAACAGATCCATTTTCAACTCATTATGATGAGTGATAAATGGCTGTGCTGATGCACCACCTACCTTTGAGTTCATGATGGGCGTCTCCACCTCCATGAAATCCATTGCCACGAAGTACTTTCTGATGTGGTTGATTATCCTCGACCTGTTCTTGAATCGCTGCTTTGATTCCGAATTCACCAGCAAATCGAGGTGCCTGTTTCTGTAAATTGTTTCGGCGTTAGTTAGGAGATTCTTCACTGATGGAATCACGCGCATGCACGGTGCCAAAATGACAATTTCAGAGCAGAAAACGGATGGCTCACCGTGTCTCGTTCTCCCGCATCTTCCCACAAATCCAACAATGTCCCCTCTTCTCATCAGATCAGCGACTTTGATCTTCTCAGGCGTCTCCTTCTTCAGAACCAGCTGGATCGACTCGTCGTTGTAGACCACCGTGTAGAAGTTCGATTTAGAGTGCTCTCTCGTTGCTGTGATGCGACCAGCAGCCTGGACGACTCTCTCTGTCATCGAGTCATTTTCAACCTGATTTGCCTCGTTAACCATTTCTGAAAATGTCTCTTTTACGTGGAACTTGTGTGGATACCAGTTGAAGCCATTGGCCTCAGCCTCCCTGATTTGCTCCCTTCGCTGCTTGTAGAAGTGTTCAGATGAAACCTCTTTCTCGTTCTGACCAGCCATTGGGTAAAAATTTGATTATTTTTTATAGAGCGAATGATAGGCAAACAGAATGGACTAGTGAGGTGACAGTAATTAAATTATTTGTTAGCAAACAACATAAGGGTCCACCCTGTTCAGGTATTCAACCTATCTAATTATTAATTTATTTCGAGACTGCATTCTTTATCTCAACACCAGCCAGTAGCAGTGCAAGAATGCTACTGAATCCAATCATACTGTATCCAATTCCCCTGATACGTCTATCAGTGCTGTAATGGACAGCGTAGATGCCTGGGAATCCGAAACTCAGGAAGTTGGTGCAAAATGCACTCACAAATGCAAGGAAGAGTCCCTCATTCAGGGATGAAGGCAACGCAAATACGTAGAGAGCCAGTCCAATAATCAGTTTCACTATTCTCGTATTTGGCTTCACGTTGGCTCTCTTAACCAACTTCTCAATTTCAGGCACAAACGTGAATACGGTCAATGGGATTCCAGTGAAGAATATCACAATGAAGAGGGTCGATAGGACGAAGAGGAGTCCCTGGAACAGCTTTCTTCCAAACAGGTTGTTGTTATCCAGCAGCTTATTCTCCGAGAAGTTCTTAACAACCAGTCCCAAAATGTAGTCGCTTCCTATGCTCGATCCCATGTACTTGTATCCGAAGAATCCAATGGTCGCATAGGACAGGTAGATCGTAAGGCAAGCAATGAGCAGCATCTTCTTGCTGTTTCTGTCGTTCTTGACGCGTAGCGTATCCTTGAAATTCAGAAACGAGAATTGGCAGTGGGCTGCAAAAATGGCATTAAGCAAGGCATTCAGGCCATTATCGTACCGAAATGGCTTCAACTCAGAAAGGGGGATCTTAGACGTGAATCCAAGCATAACCATCAGAGCAGCGTAGTAGAAGCAGGCAAAGAGGGCGACGTAGGAGAGCGGCTTCAAAATGGTCAGGTCGTGCTGCATGAAGAGGGAGAGAGCAGCAATCGAGTAGAATGTGAGGACACCAAGGCGGACCCAAGTTGTAGTAGCCATTTTCGCCTTGATATTGATTAATGCGACAGTTAGGTCTGTTGCTCGTCTTAGAAAGAGGTAGACCACTGCAAAGTTGGATAGAATGAATGCAATGGTGACCATTAGTGAGAGGTGTCTGTTGAAATTGGCAAAGAAAGAGTAGTCTCTTTTGGAACTGCTCTTTTCTATTTCTTGCTCCTTTTCGTCAGCTAGGTTGATGAAGTAGAGTGATAAATACGTAAGCAGAAACATAAATGCCATGATAGTTGACATTCCGACGTATCCAAGTTGGTTGAACGTGGCTGGCATGTAGAGCATTCCCATTCCAAATGCAGATGTACCAAATAGGAGACCAGCTACCATCGTGCTATTCTTTTTATTTGTAGTCATTAGGGGTTGGATTTCATTAATTTGGATCACTGTTTCTAATATCAGTGGTGATGGATGACTGATGGTATGGACCAACGATAGTGGGATTAAAGAGGAAATTATAATTGGAAAAATCAAGTTGATCAATGATTGATTAAATTAGGGGGTGGTATGGAAATAGTGGTCATCGAATGGGCTGAACGTGAGTAGTGTACAGGTTGTGGCAGGTTCCAATTAAATAGAGAGGGGAAATTTTTGTAAAATAAAAACGTCAACAAGCGGATTCGAACCGCTGCACGATAAACGTACTGGTTTTCAAGACCAGCGCCTTAGACCGCTCGGCCATGTTGACTAAAAATGGTTTGAAATGCATTTATGAGGAAGAGTGTGATCAATGGAAATGAAACATGCAAACAAATATATGGGACGCAACAACTTCTCAATGAGTGACGTACACGGCAGATTCAACTCCCTGCTTCGTAGCAAGGAGTATTCAGCACTGAAATCGTGCAGAAGCCTTGAGGAGATCGTGGTGAAACTCAATCACCACTTCTCATTCATAAACGAAGACATGGGCTACGAAGAGCTACGAAACAAGTTCGTTGAGAACGTCCTGAGCGAGTTGAATGAGTTCAATCTCACTGAATTAGACTATTTTATAGAATATTATATGATAGGAAACTTCTTTAACAAGATGGATGGAATACGAGAGCACATTATAGGGCAGTTTCCAGAACTAAAAACACTGGATTTGTGTAACAGCTTTGATGACGTACAGAAACTGTGCATAAGCAACTGCTTTCTTAAGAAATACTTCAGAAACATATCGTCGTATGACAGGCAGAAGACGATGCTGGTTGTAATGAAGAACTTCATGGATGGCGTATACCAAAATGCAGGTGGATACTTCAGGGAGATTCTGGAAAGCGAAGGAGACAGGCAGATACTGGAAATGTGTCTGAATGGGAGGAATATGGAGAATAAGGGCAGCTTCTTTCCAAATGCCACTACAATGAATGGGCAACAGATTACAGCTCTACAGAAAGCAGATGACTTGGATGAGATAGCCAGAATATTCAAAATACCAGACGTAGAGCCAGTTGAGTATCTGGTTAAGAAGAATAACAGCATGTATGCTGACTCATTCTGCCAATACGACGATGTGGCATGCATCTACGCCTATTTCAGGCTAAAGGAGCAAGAAATAGAGAATATCATGTGGATTGTGGAATGCATGCTACAGAATGCGCCTGATAAGATGGATGAGATCATCGTATTCGAATGAATAAATTTTATCCCTATGGAAATTATTCAAAGCTACTTGGGAGTGGGAATAAGTGGAAACAAGGAGGAATTCACGAATGAGACCATTCTGAGGCTAATTGGGGCATTGAAGGTTGAAATAGGGAAGAATGACTACAAAATGGTAGAAGGAAGCAGAATATACGACATCAAGGATGACACAGATGTCTATCCACAGTCTAAGACCATAGGGGAGATAGAGACGAAATGGGACAGATTTGCTAAAGAAAAGGGAATAAAGAAGAGGAAGAGTGGCAGAAGAAGCTACAACGAGGAGACAAAGGAGTGGGAGTTCAAGTACGGGAGCAAGAGCATTAAGAACCAGAAACTGGCATCTGGAATAGTAGAAGGAAAGAAAACAGTGAGCCAACTAAAACGGGACAAGCAGAAGAGAATTGAGAAGAACAGAAGGCAGCAACAAAAGAACAAGGATCGTGCGATGAGCAGCAAGTGATTTAGTAGTCTACGGTGTGTTGTATTCTCAAGAATGGAAACAGAATATAGTGTGGTCTGTCTCTTAACTCGTAGAAGAGGCTTCCAATGCATCTGATGCTGAATGACCATTTTTCAAGTTCCAGAAGTTCGCTAGTGCTCTTTCCTGTGCTAATGACTGTTGCAAACCAGAATAGAGACATTCCAATGACTGTGGTGGCAAAAATAAGCAGTATTTTATGAGGCTTCGTCAATAGCATTGCAATTGAGTACAGAAACGTGAATAGCAGGCAGAAAAAGAAGTCCTTGATGTTGTTTGAAGCCACACACTTTCCCAGGAATACGCAGTGGTGGTCTCTTTTGTAGTAGCATTTGTTGCAGACTGTGCAGTGTTTGGTGCTATCTCCCCTGATTCTATTGCACTTGTTGCAGATGCCCTTTACGTCTGAGTCATTTATATCAAAGAGTGATCCAGGTGACTTCACCAGTGCCATTCCGTAATAGATGGATGCTGTGGTGATTAGGTAGAACTTGAGGATTGATCTGTCTAATATTATCGTACAAAGTGCAGATATGAAGAATCCACTCACCATCATGCACGTCAATGTGCATTGTAGCAATCTGATGATACTCAACATGAATTCATCCGTCTTCATATCCCCTTTTGAACTCCTCTTTTTATTCAGGTTTCCCCTGTTTTTTGTTTTGTCAAATTTTTCTGTCATTTGGCCCTGATGACCAAAAAATCAACTGATTTTGAGGACAAAAAGAACAACAATAGAATAGGCGAAGAAAAGAGAATGACGATGCTAGAAATAGCAATAGAAACGAATGATGAGGATTATATCACTGAATATACCAAGAATGGCGACATATCTGAGCTAAAAGAACTAACCAAAAAAGAGAAGATTCGTCTAGCAAAGATGGTAGTCAAATATATGAAAGAGGAATATAAAACAAAGGCAGTAATATTATTGAATGAGATAGTGAGAGATGTTGGTGCAGTAGACGGTGTTCTTAGAGGCCTAATTGACGTACAAATCGACTTCAACAAACTCATCTACCTAAAGGGCAAAATAGACTACCTGAAACACCAGGCTGAAATAGAGCACAAAAATGACGTAGAACCAGAAGCTGAATTCATGGAATAGCAGGGTGTTTCAGGATGAAACTGTTTGTTTTAGGGCTGTTTAAATCGAATTGGGTGAAAATAGCAATGGCTGACGAGACTGAGAACAAAGGCACTAGTAATACGAGTGAAAAGAAGAGCTTGATTGCAAAGATCCTTGTTGCAGTTGTGGTGATACTCCTCATCATAGGCGGAGCTGTCCTAATTAAGAAGAACTCTGGGCTGAATTCAGTACCATCCAAGAATGCAGCACGAGCTAAGGCAAATGCAAGCGGGCCTAAGAAGGTACAGGCAGAAGCCCTAGAGCAGAAGAAGGTGCCTACAACCAAATCAGGATTCAAGAAGACGGCAGATAACGAAATGAATCTGAAAGGAAAGAAAATGGCAGAGCTAGCCCACAGCGACGAATAAAACAGTAATGTTCTGATGTGTTATCTGCATTTAGTCCTCGTTGTCCAGGTAGCTGTTGATTGTTGTGGCACGAATTTTGTCTAGGTCAGCCTTCTCAGTGGTGAGAACCTCCTGCAAATTCTTAAACATCTTTTTGAGGTCCGAGTTCTTCACCTTGTCCGATTCAACACGCTTCAGCCTCTTCAATACGCCCTCTCGATCTGCCATTATTATGTGGGCACTATCAAGGAAGATGAATTCGGATCGTTTTCGAATTCCAGCTGTGAATGCAGGAATGGCTGAAACAGCAATCACAATCTCAACAGCCTCGTCGTTGATGTAGCCTATGTTTGCAACTGCCTCACGCTCGATGTTGCAGATGTCGGCAATGAACACCTTGAGCTGATTTATCCGCATTCTTGGAAGACCCTCAACGTGAGCGAGCTTATAGCGGCATCCAGATGCGAGGTCGCTCAGCTTCTGGCTTAGTGACGTGCTACTGCAGACATTGAAGCCGTCTTCAGCCATTTGCGATCCATTAAATGGAATTGAGTCGATTATGGCCGCTTTTTGTTGCATCGATTTCTTAACAACATCAATGCTCTGTGAAAGTGACATGATGTAGAGACTCTGCTGCTTCAAAATCTCTTTGATGTCTTGCAAGGTGTGTTTTACGCTATCGTCCGTCTGGTTGTCGGTGCTTTCGTCTTGAACACTTTTTTTCATCTGATGGGGCTATTGTGAAAATTTTAAAACTTAGGATAATTATTTTTTTAATTGATTTGGTACAATGGATGGTGTCAGCACCAATGCATTTCATATTGGGCTTGTTTGGATGGATTTAATATGTGGAGATTTGATCAGTTTTGCTTCCAATTGTGGCCACACTTCACACACCTGTAAAAAATAGTCATGGCCTCATCAGCAGAACGTGTTTGAACTTCTTTGAAAAGCGCCTTATTGTGCTCGCATTCAGGACAGGTGACTTCAACGAAGTTGCCTTGATCTCTAGCTGGAATACTGGGTGTGTTGGGCGTATTGATCACCTTGAAGGACTCAACAACAGGGTCAGAGAGTGGAAAGTCCATCACAAGTCCACAGTTTTTGCATTTCAGTTTGGTTTCAACTACTTTTACGACCATATCACAGCTATCACAAAAGAACATTCCAGGGTAAATTTTTGAAAGATGATATAAAGGTGGAAAAGATAAGTATGAGGCATTACGAGAAGCATCAGAACTATAACATTGTTTGTATATAAATGTCGTAAATAATAATTGAGATAGGTAAATATTATTATCATTTGCTTAAATATATAGAAAAAGATAGTTGAGAATAGTCGAATGCATGCAAATCAAAAGTATAATGAATTTTTACCCTGTTATAATTAAGCTAACAAGATACTATGAAAATATTAAAGAATGTGAAAAAGTATTCTTATAGTTTATGTTTCTAGCTAAGAAAATTATAGTACATACTCATAAAAAAATATATTTATCATAAAGTATATTTAATGAACAAGAAGTAAGTTATAATGGATTGAAGATCTTGTTTAATTCATAAAATATTTGATGATCTTCAATAAATGTATTATTTAAAAAAGTACTAACGGATAATTTATCCTTATAATATAAATGCAGTAATGATGGCAAATGCATATACGAGAAATAAATATTTAGGAGTAATAAAAATAGATATGTGGTTAATTATAGGGTCAGAAAACTTGAAGTTTTATATTAAACATCAAAAATGCTTTTTCCTTGGAAATTTTTGACAATAATCATACTTGTATTAGTAGATACATAATTCCTAAGTATTAGAAATTAAAGTGTATATATACGTGTAGTTGATGGTGTCAAAGAAAATTGCACAAGATTCTGAGTCACACAATACACCATTCTCTTTTTCCTTATTGTAGCAAGAAAATAAATAGTTATAGAACGCAAAAGTTAGATGCTTAATATATAGCTTGTATTAACATATTACCCTATGAATCAATGAAATATGTTGAATGTCTTTTGGATATATACTTTGAAACAAAATGTTAATAGAGTAAAAAATAATAAAATGTCTCTGCTTAAAAATTGTTATGTTTTAGTTTATTAATTATAAAAACATTTAACAATTGACTAATAGAAAACTATGAACAAATTTTACTGAAATTATATTTATAGATGTATGAGTATAAAATGGTAAGAAAATTAACGAAACACTAATAATTAAAACTCCATGTTAAATAATGAGAAATGCTGCAATTAAACATACGATACTATAAGTTAAAATTCAACATGCTATTATGGAAACTAGTTTTATAAAAATATTGTTCCTAGTAATCATCATTGTAAAATCATATGAATACACATATATAATATTGTATTAGATGAAAAATAAAATTGAAGAATTTAAGTTGTACCTTTCATATATTCATAATATAAATAGCACATACAAATAATTGATCAATGGAAACTATAAACTTGAAAATATTTAAACAATACATGTTTTTAAACCACAAAAGATATTTTAAATTTTTTGAATAACATCCTTAAATGATCATTTATAATTTTATAGCAATATACTAATTTAAACATTATATAATTAAACATTCAAAATTCTTATATAAAAAAAATTTAAATACGTTTTACATTCATAAATTTAGTGATCAAAATTATGTTGTTCAAGTACACAAAATAGCCAAGTATCAATTTTAATTACAGTGTGATTATTTAGGGCCATAAACTGTCTATTCTTTAAAATACTTTTAAAATAGTGTGCTACAAACTATAAAATCATACAATATAACAATGGTTCAACCACTAAAATTTAAGTTATTCGAATAATTAATCGGATATATATAAATTATCAAAATCTCGTAAATATAAAGAAAACCCAAAATAGGATGCTACAGAGAAAATATTTAGCATTTTTAGAACAGTTATATAATTTATCATGGTCTACGTATCCAAACGCATATAATAAACTGTTGTATGAAACTTGTTTTTCAATAAAAGAGAATAGCGAAAACATAAAAAGTTTAAAAGAAACCCGTAGACACATAGTGATTTAACATGGTTTACCAGATCTATAAAGCTATTGCAAACAATAGGTGTATTTGAAAGGAAATCCACCTATCTATTACACATAAAAACCATTAAACTTTAGTGTTCATAATTGATTAAAAGTTTTGATTACCTACTTGGATATATTTGCTATTTATATAAATATTTAAACTATATAAATGTATTTCAATAAGAAAGCGTTAAACATAATTGCTATTTTTAAATAATACATAATAAACAGGAAAAAGAGTTATATTTTTGTACATCAACAAGAATTTCCTGTTTCTAGATAAAAACTTCGATACTCATATACTCCTTATTTTTATTTTATATATTTCAAAAGATAAACTCAGTGCATCTAAAAATATATTCTTTTTATAGTTTTATGGTTTCTACAAGAATTATAATCTGATTGACATCATTACGTAAAATTTATAACAAGGGTTGCAGTATTGTAAATTTTTAGAAATGAATGCTACTCTTATTTAAAGTTTTACACAACAAAAATATGAAATTTTGTAAATTAACACAGATTCAACATAAGTAATAATCTTATATATATTTATTTATTTAATAATATCATAAAGATCAAAATTGTATTTGTATTAATTGCAATTGTTTCCTTTTGATTTTACGAAAATGGTATTTTTGTAAAACAACATATATATATTTGAGTATCATAGGGGAATTTCAGATTTTAATTCAATGTGTTTGATAAGTGCAATACTTTGAAATTGCTGTAACAATATTAGATAATTTAAATATTATTACAGCAATTTGTTCTAAATTAATTCATTTAATTTCTTTATAGTATATATTATAATAAGTAAATAATATATGTTCAAAATAGAGTGCTGAAAAAATTACAAATATATAATCGTTGTATTTCTTCGTTTTCTAAAATAACGTGCAAAATGATCATATATTTGTAAACCTAGTATGCAAATTAAACTAAGTTAAGATTAGGTGCTTATTTATTTCTTACAAAGCAATAAAAACATTTACAATGTACAACCAAATATATTGTTCGTGTATATCGTGTTTATGAATACATAAATAGTGTTTTTATGGGGTAGAAAATGCTCTCATTGTATGAATTTAATTCATGTGCTTTTCAAGTATATAGTTTATTGTTTTAGCAAGATGAGATAGTTGATATATATGACCTATAAATTGTGCATTTTCTTATGTTTTCCATCATCCAAATATTTTTTATGTGTGAAAGTTCCCGAACTTGTGTCGAAATCGATATCATCATTTTTCTGTAAGCAAAATGCATAATGTGCTGTGTTCAGCTGCTGAGCCATCTTGCTCTAGTGCCTGAATACTCTTTTTAGTTACAACCATTTACTTGATAAGGGGGTTCTCCTTCTATTTATACCCGTTATTTGTCTACAAATGATCAACATATCAATCACAAAATGTTTTGATCCTTGACAGATTGATGTAATAAAGTCCTGGTATCGGGCTCGCACAACATAATGTATTCTTCAAATGGTATAATAGAAATTTTGCAAACTTAGATACATGCTGCTTATGTTTTATAGCATTCAATTATCTTTTAATTCATATTCGTTATAATTTTGAAAATGCATATTTTATCTAAACCACATTTCTAAACATATATTATTAAATCTACATTGTTTTTGAAGGTGAATAAGCATTTTACTCGCCTTTATTATATGATTATATTGGTCAAAGTGATTGGGGAATATAGGTGAACATTGAAAACTTTATATTAACATTTACATAGATAATCGGTCTATTTGTGCATATAATTTAAATTGTAATTATTGTTACTTATTTCATTTAGCGTTATTACTTTTATANCTGCTTATGTTTTATAGCATTCAATTATCTTTTAATTCATATTCGTTATAATTTTGAAAATGCATATTTTATCTAAACCACATTTCTAAACATATATTATTAAATCTACATTGTTTTTGAAGGTGAATAAGCATTTTACTCGCCTTTATTATATGATTATATTGGTCAAAGTGATTGGGGAATATAGGTGAACATTGAAAACTTTATATTAACATTTACATAGATAATCGGTCTATTTGTGCATATAATTTAAATTGTAATTATTGTTACTTATTTCATTTAGCGTTATTACTTTTATATGTTTACAAATGTGGTTGTTAAAACATGCAATGTACATTTAAAACAGAAATATATAATAAATGGAAGAGTATTTAAAGGAATCTTAATTTAATATATTTGGCATGACGAGAATAAAATGATGTAAAATTTAGATGTTAGTTTTGCTATTGTCTTATATTATGAAATATAGTTCTGATGAATACTCTAGTTAAAAAGAAAACTATAAACTTTGCAACATTTATTTTTGATAAGGATATATAAAGATCAGATATTCTAAACATATAATTTTAGTTGAATCATGGACCATCTGTAACATGTTACAGATACAATCAAAGCTATTACAGAATATCAGCGCGAAAGATTGGCTTTATAAGACAATCGTCAATAGGAACACATTTTATTTTACAATGACAAATGTGTTTAATGCATTTTATAATATTTTTGTTGTGGTATTTAATATTCTTAAATATTCACAAAATTGCTGAAGTATCTTATATAAATATATATAAATTAAAAACAATTTATTTTCTTTGTGTATTGTAGCACATTATATTCATTAACCAAGTAGGACTAAGTTTATTTTAAATAATTATTTTTATACAAATCCAATTTTGATGCAGTTTTCTAGTAAACACTAATTGTATACATTTAGACAATAAAAGACAAAATAATATATTTTAAAGCATACTTCTGTAATTTAAAACTTTAGGCAATACCACGAGGATTATGATCCCCACACATTGTATATTCTAGTATTCTAATACGAAACTATTCTGAATCATAAATTGTATTAATATTATTATGTTTTTGATGTAAAATCAGTTAATGCCTTAACATTCAGTAGAAAATGTTAATAT